CTCTATTCCTATTGGGTCAGATATAGCTATTCTGTCTACCATCTTGTATAGTTGGTGGGGGGAATTGAAGCTGTTTTTTGCTGAAAGGAAATGGACTGGTTAGGTGAAAATTTCAGTGGTTAGCCCTCTTGTGCCTATTCTGGCCTAGTAGTATACCAGTTGCTGTTGGGAGGTGGTCACTTTCATATGCCTAGGGCTTTCAGCTTTATGCCATGAGGTACTATGCACTCAGAAATCAGGGTCCTAACGTCTGCTTTAACATCCCACTCCAAGTTCAGTTCAGTAGAGAGTGTAAAATGTATAAAGCCCATTTAACCTGTAGCTTCAGTATCTATTAAAGATTTTTGTGGAGTCATTCAGTGCAAAAGAGGCCCTCTGGCCCTTTGACTGTGTACCATCAAAACACCCTCTTACCTACACTAGTACCACTTTTCCACACCAGGACCGTGGCCTTGAATGTTATGACACTGCAAAAGAAGTTTTTAAAATTTGGGAGGTTTCCCACCTCAACTACCCTTCCAGACAGTACATTCTTGTACCCACCACCAGCTCTGTAAAAAAGGTTTTCTTAAAATATTTTGCAAACCTCCTGCCTTTCACTTTAAAAGTGTTTCACAAAGCCAGAAATTGCTGGAGATATTCAGCAGGTCTTGCAGCATCTGTGGAGGGAAAGCAAAGTTAAAATTTCGAGTCAAATGACACTTCTTCAGAACCCATTCTTCCTATTGTGTGGTGATCAAAACTATATGCAATCCTCCAGTTGTAGCCTGACCAAAGTTCTGTACAGCTCCAACATAACCTTCCTGCTGTTATAATCTATGTCTCAAATGATAAAGTCAAGTATCCCACATGCCTTCTTAACTACCCTATTAACCTGTTCAACCATCTTTAGGGATCTGTGAACAAGCATCCCAAGATCCCTCTGTTCCTCTAAACATCCTCATGCCCTGTTTTGCATTGAATATTGCTTTGTTGCTTCTTCCAGAGTGCATCAATCACATTTATCATGGTTATGTTTCATCTGCAACTGATCTGGCAAATCTGTCTTTGTTATCTTGAAACCTAAGACTTCCCTCCTCATTGGCAGCCACGCAGCCAATCTTTGTGTCATCCATAAATTTACTTACATTCTCATCTATATAATTTATGAATATCACAAACAACAAGGGTCCCAGCACCGATCCCTGTGGAATGCCACTGGACACCGTCTGAAGTCACACAAATAGCCTACTACCAGCACCCGCTGTCTCCTGCCACTTTTGGATCCAACTTACCAAATTACCCTGGATACCAGGAGTTTTTAACTTGCTTTATCAGGTTTGCCATGTGGGCCTTTGTGAAAGGCCTTGCTTAAATCGAGATAAACTACATCAACTGCCCTACTCGCATCTACACACTTGATCACCTGGAAAATTCCAATCAAATTTGTTAGGCATGGCCTCCCTCTGACAAAGCCATGCTGACTCTCCCTGATTAAACCTTGCGTCTCTAAATAGACATTAATTTTCTCCTTCACTATTTTCTGTAATTGTCCCCCTACTACTGATGTTGCACTTAGTGGTCTGTAGTTCCCTGGTCTATTTCTACCATACTCTTGTAAATTGGAACCACATTAGCTGTTGTCCAGTCCTCTGGCACATCCCTTGAGGCCAGAGGCAATTTAAAGATTTGGGTTAGAGCTCCTGGTGCTTCCTCTTTTGTCTCAAGCAGCAGCCTGGCATACAGCTCATTTGGACCTGTATACTGAACTGTGAAGTCTTCTTACATTACTACTCCAAAAACTGTTGGCACAGAATTTCTCAGTGGTTTAATAATTTGCAGATTTCTAACCAAATACTTCTGGTCTGAAAGTTTAACAAACTGTTACAAGACAAGTATACTTTCCCTGAATTGTTCTATAATTCTTTCTAGCAGAGAAACTATATCTTGCTTCTGATCTTAGGTCTCTAAGGTGCCCTAAATTTTAATCTCAGTTTTCTAAATTAAAATCAATCCCTACTCTGAACCAAAAGCAAGCTGATGGCCTTAAATGTTTATACTTCATGTCATAACCATTATAGTATAAACAATCCTCCATTAACTCTCCAGGGATTCTCCCTCTCTGACAAATACTGAATTAAGTCACTATTCTGGAAGGGCTTTCTGACCTCTTCCTTCTTTAACACATGCACTACTTTTGAAATGGAAATGCTACTGTTGTAATTGATATTATTATTTATTTTATATATAAATAAATCACACACCTCTCCCCACAATCCAGTCCCACCCATTGTGGTTAACCTTCCCCTACTTCCAGTCTAATGTGTACCTGTAAATTGACTTAGTCTCGGAGCCAACTGAAATTCCTAAGACTCTGAATGGAAAACAATCCCAGAAATATCCCTCAAGTTCATATGTCACAAATAATACTCCCCCAGAAAGATCCTTAAGTGAGTACCAAATGTGATTCATAATTGTATAATTGTAGAATAAGATGGAGATGTGAGTCTGTTTCTATTTATGGGGTATTCCTGGGAACCCCAATCCGTACTCATTTCAGGGACAGTTCTGTCCCTTCTGACTGGTCCAAACTGAAGTTATGGGTGTACAAGATGAGTGTGGAGAAATCCCAGTTCATTTCCAGGTTTTACTGGATTTCACTTGAGTGACAGCATTCCCTCAGATTTTCACTTGACCCACTAAGGGTAGAGAGTTTTTTTTCAGGAAAACTAGACTGTTCTCCGAAAAAACGTGGGATATGAAGGTGAGTTGGACAGTATTTGTTAGAGATCTTGCTTGAGCAAACAGGGAAGGGTAGAATTTTACTTGAATACTAAATGGTATTCCTTAGTAATTCGCCGCATCATGTGATATGATAGAAAAGGCTCCCGGTAATTGGGTCTTAATGTGCTAAATCAAGTTTGTTATACTCTTGTGTTTTAGTTGCTCCCATACCTAGTGATGGATATTATGAGGGATTATCCTGGTGTTCCAGGACTCTTTGTGGCAGCCGCATACAGTGGGACTTTGAGGTACTGTACATCTGAATCCATTTGTTCCTTCTAATTGATCTCTCTCTAATGCTGTTTCCTTCAGTGTTGAAGTCCTGATTCTGTTTCATTGTTTTTTTTTAGTACGGTTTCCTCTAGCATCAATGCATTGGCTGCTGTCACAGTGGAAGACATCATCAAACCTTTCACCAGTTTTTCAGAGCAGAAACTTTTTTGGATCACAAAGGGACTCAGTAAGTTGGATTTCACAACTACGAATGTTCAAATAAATGTAAAAATCACTTCCAAGTGGGAAATAGAATTGGTACGAGTTGATCCCGTTCTCAGTCGGGAAATGAACACCAATCTGTGCTGGTAGCTCTGCATTTACGCATCAAATTCATTCTTTCCTGGGACCTTAAAACTGTGGAACTGTTTTTGTCTCTCAGACTTACCCTCCACTTGTAAGCTGTATTTTCTGAAAATCCATATAATCTTGCAATTGTTCCTGTCTGATATAACTCATCAGCTCTTGACAGCTTTGATGGTGGTCTGCACAATGTACTATCAGTTTTCAGAACCTATTTGAGCCATCTTCATCATCACACTGTTCTTATTTGCAAGTGATATGAGTTCCTGTTTAATTGGAGATGACCAACTGGGAAACTCAACACTAACTCAAAGAGACCTTTCATTGTTATTCACAATGGACCATTCGTGAATTAATGCAAATTGCCAAGTGTAGGACAGTCATCATGAAAGGCTCTTATGGAATGAAGACCATCTATTTGTCTAAGAGAATTGTTAATTACTGTATTTGACCATGAATATGCTGCATTTAGCAGGGATATTCTTTTCTACACTAGCTACTCATTTGTTTCGTAGGCTTCATGTTTGGAGTCATCTGCATTACAATGGCTGCATTGTCCTCTGTGATGGGTGGCGTACTGCAGGTAGGATTCATCCGTGTTTTTAGATGTAACTCGACTTCACCTCTGCTGAATTTTAGCCTTCATCAGCGTGGCTGACTCTTGCACAAACAACATTCTCTCATTTGAAGTAACCACTCTCGGGAGCTCACAATTTAGCTGAGAAATCATGATCTACCCTCCAACAATGCACATTAATCACTCACCTCAACTTTTCCTACTGTACCAATGTGGGGTTTCCATTTCTCGTGCCAGTCTTCAGTGGTCAGATTCTCAGAGATTGCCAGTTTAGGACTGCAGACCTATGCTACTAGAAGCTTAATTGAGAAACCTGACAAGATCCAGAGGTAGTAAATTGTTAATTCCATTAGTCTGAGCTGCATATGGAACCCAATTTAGTTGTAAGAGCTTTGGTCTGACACTGTTGCCAGATTTGTATATTCCAATTACACTTTTTACCCCAAAACACTTGTGCAAGTAAGAATTCCTCCCCGGATGGAGACCGTACTGTGTTCCAACTGCTGAATAAATGCTGGGTTAGCATTTATACCCATCCCTTACTGTCCTTTCAACTGAGGCCTTGCTAAGGTTTTTTTTTATTTATGGATGGGATGTGAGCATCATTGGCTGGGCCAGCATTTATTGCACATCCTTATTTGCCCTTACGGTGGTGGTGAGCTGTCTTCTTGAACTGCTGCAAGCTATGTGCTTAGAAATCTCCTAACAGATAACAGCCTGAACCTTTATCCCCGTGATCTGAAGTTTGCAAACATATTGTGCTACTTCTTTGTACCTGTTTTTACTTGCAATCTTATCGGCTGGATATTTCCTGTGGACCTCTGAACCTTGCTGTCAGGCTCAAATGGGGATCAGAAGGCCACTCATTGTGGGAGAAAATTATTCACGATGATTTTCCTTGATTTGGCCATTTACTGGCCCCGGAGTTGAGTTTGCCATCTATTGATGAGTGCTCCTCAAGGGTCGAGGGCTAACAGGAAGTCATTGAAAGCAGTAGCAGAACAACATGGCAGATAAGTGAGAAGGGGAGGACACTTCAAAATGGTGGCATCCTCTCTGTAAATATTTCATGTTTAAAATATGCAATGGCCTCTACAGCCAGGCCACCATTATGGTGGGATACCTGCTGCTGCACTTCAAGTAGACTGGGAGGCCTCTAAGTCTGCCTGGAGAGCCAGCCCCTGGTCTGCTGCTTGGAGGTTGTTTCCATGCAGCTGAACTGGCCCTCACCATATGCAGTGACCTAGAGGCTGACTGGAAAATGACACTGGCACAGAATGGATCTGGGAAATTGGCACGCTGGGCGCGACATGAAATTATGTGCCCACCTCCTGCCCTCAGACGCTGCTGAAAATCCTGCCTATTCCATCTGCCTCTTAGTTTGTGCTGGGTTCAGCCCCAATTTTACAGCATTATGTTGAAATGCATGTCTATTACAAAACATTTTCTGTTTCAGAGCTTTCAGTAAATTAATATTCTGGACTTTTAGTGACAGTTCCTTCAGGAGGAAGAAAATTTAATAGAGAACAGGAAATGTCATTAAAATATTACAATTCCAGAGCTGCAGCAGTACTTCAGAGCATACAATTTACCTAAGGATCAAAAGTAACTAGTTAGTCTGGTGACAAAAGATTAAAACCTATTTTAAACTGAGAGGCAGATGAATTAACATAAACCTAGTGATTTTCACTGGTGTCAATGATTTGTCTTTTTCAAACTGCTTCACATTTCTCTGTCACAAATATCATTCAGATATATCAGCCCTCCACTTTCTCCTTTGTTTTCCAGGCTGCCCTCACTATTTTTGGGATTCTTGGTGGTCCATTACTCGGGTTGTTCCTGCTAGGCATGGTATTCCGTTGGGCTAATTCAATTGTAAGTACCTGACACACATCAGGGATTCATGAAGGGGTTTTACAAACAGTCTGGAACTAAAATGAATAATTCGGGAGGAAATAGGGAACCGAATGACAATTAATGCAAGTCCCAAGAGATCCAGGTACATCAAGAAGTGAAAGTAACAAAATGTATGAAAAATCAGGAAAGTGAGAGAATACAATCGCGAAATGCCAGACTTCTACTATACAGTGCCCTGGTTCAACTGCACCGGGAGAATTGTGAACAGTTCTGGGCACCACACCTTTGGAGGGATATATTAGCCTCAGGGGACTGGAACTTTGATTTTCCAGAAATAGTTGCAAGGGTTAAATTATACAAAATACTGTTGTATTGTATGGAATTAGTAAATTAAAGAGTGATTTGATTGAAGTTTCTATGATGAAATGTAGATAGGTAGGGAAGAGCGAAAGAAACTATTTCTGCTGGTTGGATAGTCAGGACAAGGGACATGGTGTAAAAGTTAGAACCATTTCGACCTTTCTGGAGTGAAATTAGAAAACACGAAATGATGTAACGTGTGATAATTTGGATTTCTCTTCTACAAATTGTAATTGATGTTGGATCAGGTGTAAATTTTAAAGATGAGATTGACTGATAAAGTTTTATCTAAGCGTTATGGGACAAAGGTATTTGTATGAAATTTGGTTTCAGATTAGTCATGATCTCAATGAATGGCAGTGGAACAGGCTTGAGGGACTAAATGGTTTACTTCTGTTTCTGTGTTCATATGTACCCATGGTAATATGATACCTGGTTTTAGGTGTATTTGTCTGTAGAGTGCAACTACCATTCCTCTTTCCTGGACTGGTTCTGAGGGGCAGTTCAGTTTACAGTGATAGAGGTACAACTGTTATTAAATTTGAACAGGAAGAAGCTGCTATCTTAAACAAAGTGTATTTTTTTTTTGTATGATATCAGTCAGGTTCAAGTTACATTAGAAAAACCGTAGTTTAGCAATACAGCACTTGAGTATTGCTGAAAAAGATACGTCGGCCTATCGCCCAAAAGACTAATGTGGTATATGAATTTCAGCACTGTTGTGATGCTAGATATATAGCTGCACATCCCAAAGATGGTGGATGGCATCAAAGAGCAACAAGCAAGCTACTGACTGTAGCCAAGTAGCCCATGCTTCCAAAACTCTCAATGCAGTGCCCAACATTAGGTATGATTCTGCAATTGAACAACATTTGTTACATAATCCTGATTGTAGAAAGAATTATGCTGCCACTTGATTTGGGTTCCTCTCTCAGGCTGCAAATTGAGGCATGTACTGAAAGATACATTTTGCAATACATAGAATCTGTTCTTTCCAGACAGAAAGAATGCAATAGGTGAGAGTCATTCCCTGGTTCATACCTCAAGGCAATACCTTGCCCAGTCAGAGTCAACTTTTCTTGTTTAAAACACAAAGCCTGACAGTTAATCCTTAGCTATCATTATGTCGTGCACTGTCCATGGCAGCACCTCTATCAATCAGAATTCACTTGCTAACCAATAAGCATTCTCCTGTCATACAGTATAAATATTGATTTCCCTTTTGACTTTGGTCTTCTTGTGACATGACCTGATTTAGCAAGAGAAGTTTTGTCAAAATGTGTCTTCTCAGCAAGACCCAAGTTAATGAACATTGTGACCAAGAGTATAAGAAACCTATGAATCTTCACAAGATTTAAGACTTTCTGCCTTATTGTTACCTAAGCCTGTATGACATCTTCACACTGGCCAGAACTTTTCGCAGCCTCCAGCATTAACCGTTTCAGAACTATTATATTGTACAATAGATTTAATATATACTTCTGGACCTTATTACTGATTAGCATCATTTGAATTTGTCTGAAGGCACTCAAACAGGCACATATAGATTTAGCATTTAAGTGATGAAGTGATCAGATGCTGTTTTTTGTGGAGTTGTAAGTTGGTCTTCATTAATTCAAGGTTGAATTAGATAGCCCCAAAAACAGGCATGAGAATCACAATGTGAAATTACCCCACATCAGTCAAAGAGAAAGCAGACAGTATGCCAACTTTGTGCTACCTGCTCATTGTAATAATTGTTCCAGGTTGCCAGGAGTAACTGGAATGAACACAAAGGCAGAGTGCCCAATAATGTTGTCTGATAACACATACTTAAAGTTAACCTGCACTTCTTAAATATATCCTGCACTGCTTAAATATATCCTGCACCTCTTATACAGAAGGTACGTCGTGACTGCTGGAGGTGACAGGATCATTTTGAATCGTGCAACAAACAAAGCAGTGGCTAATGATGGGAGAGAGCATGCACCCAGGTTTTCTCATGCTGCAAGGCAATCTTGAAAGAGGAGGTGAAAAAGAAGAGAGATGTTCTATTTCCACATTGGAGACAGGGCACCCTGCAGATAGAGAATGAGACAACAGTGAGAACAGATAACCATAGGTCACTGACAGGTGTTATAGCCGTGTTCAACTAGATGTAATGGTATACTGTTTATATACTGACCTCACTGTACGGGGAAACAGTGCTGCAATAGTAATGTCACTGGACTAGTAAGCCAGAACCCAAGATAACGTTCTGGTGAAATTTGAATCCAATGCAAATCTGGATTGAAGAGCTGACCTGATAATGACAATTAGAAGGGTGTAGGCCCGAAATGTCAGCCTTCCTGCTCCTCTGATGCTGCTTGGCCTGCTGTGTTCATCCAGCTCTACACCTTGTTATCTCCTAAACTAGCCATTTTTTTTTTGTCATAAAAACCCATCTGGTTCAGTAATGCCCCTTAACGAAAGAAATTTGCCATCCTTACCTGGGCTGGCCTACATGTGACTCCAGACCCACAGCAATGTGGCTGACTCTTAACTGACTTGTGGCCAATTAAAGAGGAGAAATAAACGCTGCCATTGCCAATGATACCTGTATCCCATGAATGAATGAAAGAAATCAAGTCAGATTCATTTAAAGTATTGTCATATTCGACCATAGTTACTGTTCAAATTACCACACCCCTATCACTGACCTATCAATGATTTCTATCAGTCGCCCCTCATACCTATCATTCACATATTTCGTTTCACTTCACTTTCCTACACTTAGCACTGCTGCAACCTTTACACCGATAGCTAACAGCTTCCGCACTGTGCCAGCTATTTTTCAAATCCCATTTCACCTCACCCTTACAGGCAACGACTGGTGTTCCCATGTTGTTCTCACATTTCACATCCTTCCTCACATTGTCCTAGTACATGTATCCATTCATATATAGAAGAACTGTAACTGGGATATACAATGGAGGACCACCAAAAATCAGTCATTGTGAAGACAAGCCATCACTTCATTTCACGTGTTGTGAAACTATCAGCTCATGCATGTAGGATAATTTGACCATGATGTGGTAAATCTATCTGTCCTGAGTTGGAGCAGAATCAGGAGAGGAGTGGAGTGGAGTACAGTGAATCTGCGGATGAACGGTGGCAGCAGAGCTGCCAGATAAAAAACCTGAGTAGGAGGACCCAGACTGAGGTCAGTCAGAGCAGCAGCAGGAGAGGAGTGGAGAGGATCACTGAATCCAGAGGCAGAGCTCCAGTGGTGACATCAGGTTTCATAAAGTGATGCGGGGCAAGAGAATTGGCTGCTTAGGAACCAACTTTACGGACTGAGAGAGTAGTAGCGGGTGGGAGATAGAATGTAAAGTCCTTATTTTTGACGTTTGTAGTTTGTTAAGAAGAGTGAGAGAAAGAGAGGGAAAACAAGAAATCTGATTTGATGAGTTGTGGGTAAGTTTGAATAATTAGTTTCTAGTTTATTGAATGTAGTTGGAAAGTTCAAGAAGGAGAATTCTCTTCCATGCTCCGCCTGTAATAATGTGGGAAATCAGGAACACTTCCGGTGTCCATGGTCAGTGTGTATACAGGAAGTGTGATGAGATGCAGCTGCTGATTCACTGCATGGAGTGGCTGGAGCTGCAAATGGACTCACTGTGGAGCATCCATGATGCTGAGGATGTCGGAGATGGCAAATTTAGTGAGCTGGTCACACATAACAGCTACACAGACAGAAAAGTGTGGGTGACTACTAGGAAGACTGGTAAGTGCGGGCAGGCAGTGCAGGAGTCTTATGTGGCCATTCCCCTTTCAAAGAGCTATACCATGTTGGATACTGTTGGTATGGATGGCCTCTCAAATTTGTGGCACTGCCGTTGGCTCTGCTGCACAACAGAGGAGGGAAAAGACTGGGAGAGCTGTCATGATAGGGAACCGATTGTAAGGGGAACTGACAGCAACTGTGGCAGCAAACAGGACACTGGAATGGTATGTTGCTTTCCTGGTGCCAGGGTCAGGGATGTCTTATAGGGGTTGCAGGGCATTCTGAAGAGGGAGGGTGAACAGCCAGCAGTCGTGGTACATGCTTAAAAAGGAAATGAGATCTTTCAACAGGAATTTAGAGAGTTAGGTATTGGATTAAAGAAGAAGACTCCCACAGTCCAGTTTAGGTGGTTTGGCCATGTTAAATTGCCTGTTGGGTCTAGGGATGTTTAGGTTATGTAGATTAACCATGGGAAATGTAGGGTTACAGCGACAGGGTCGGGGGTGGGGAGGGGTGGTTTTTTTTGGGTCTGGGTCACCACACTATCAAAAGGGTGTGATTGCACTCGAGAGGGTGCAGAGGAGATTCACCAGATTGTTGCCTGAGATTAAAAGTCTCAGTTATGAGGAGAGACTGGATAAGCTGCATTTGTCTCCCTTGGAGCAGAGAGGGGGATCTGATTAAACTGTACAAAATTACAATTGAGATAGACAGAGTAGATCATGAGAATGTCTTCCTCATGACTGGCAGATATGTCTAAGACCAGAGGGCATAGGTTTAAGATGTGGAGCAAGTAGTTTGGAGGGGATTTGAGAAAAAATCAATTTCACCAGAGGGTGGTTGACATATGGAATGTGCTGCCTGAGAAGATGGTGAAGGCAGGTACTATCGCAACATTTAAGAAGCATCTGAATGAATACTTAATGTGCCGGGCATAGTAGGCTGTAGACCAAGTGCAGGTAAATGGGATTTGTGTAGCTTGGGGTTTATTAGTCAGTATGTACCTGATAGGCTGAAGGGCCTGTTTCTGTGTTGTATGACTCAATGACATTTGTGCTGCAGCAACACAGGGGGCAAGGACAGTGGATGTGCCAAATTGTCATTTTACATTGTCAATTACACACATTTCATTGGAGAGAACCCAAGTCTGGATTTCCACAATCCAGTTTATAGAAAGTTGATGGGCAAATGCAACAAAAACTCCAGTGCTTTGGATAGACTGCCAGAAAACTGCAATTCAACTGGCATGGAAGACTCTAGCAACAATATGACATAGGACTTTGCACAAAGCTTGACACAAATACTCTCCAGTATGACCAGCACTATCAACAAGGCTGTAGAACCCAAACATGATGCAATAACCTACACACTAAAGCCCAGTGAAGGGACATACCCCTGAACTCACTGTAGCACATTCCAGTGAATACACACTCTTAGCATTCACCTGTTGTATTGCAGTGAATACACACACTGAGCATTTGCTGAGTGAATACACATGCCAGAAAATCACCGTTTCACTTCCCAGTTAATTCACACACCCTGCACACAATGTATGAAGTGACCATAAATACACACACCCAGCACTCACAGCATTGTATCTTCGTGAATATATACACTGAGCACTCACTCCATAATGCACCAATAAATAGAGGCATCCCAGTGAATACACATGCAAAGCATTCATTGTTCAGTATATGTGGTGTTCTCACTTTATGCACGTCCCAGCGAATACAGAAACCATGCACTCTCTACAATCACATCCCAGTGAGTGCACATACCCTGCACGCATGATATAAACTGGTCACACAGCGCCGCAGTCACTGCATCATCTCCCAGTGAAGAGACATGCTGTAGTCAGTGTGTCATTCCCCTTTGAGTAGAGGCATCCCAGTGAATACATGTGCCAAGTATTCATTGTTCAATATATTGTTCACTCACTGTGTGCATTTCCCACTGAATACAAAAAAACCCTGCACTCCCTGAAAACATGTCCCAGTGAGTGCGCACACCTTGCACTCAGTGTATTATAAACTGGTATATAGACAACACAACACCCATTCTACCACTTAACAGTGAGTGCACGAGTCCAGAACTCAGTGTATCACATCTAGGGAATACACACTCACTGTTTGGTACACTGGCCATTATTGGTCAGTGCATTGAGTATAGGAGTTGGGAGGCCATGTTGCAACTGTTCAGGACATTGGTTAGGCTACGTTGGAATACTGCATTCAATTCTGGCCTCCCTGCTACAGGAAAGATGCAATGAAACCTGAAAGGGTTCAGAAAAGATTTACGAGGACGCTGCCAGAGTTGGAGGGCTTGAGCTATAGGGAGAGGCTGAATAGGCTTGGGCTATTTCCCTCGAGTGTCAGAGGCTAAGGGGTGACCTTCTAGAAGGTTATGAAATCATGAGGGGCATAGATAAGGTGAATAGCCAAGGCCTTTTTCCTGGGATAGGGTCATCTAACACTAGAAGAATAGGTTAAATTGAGTGAGGAAAAGTTTAAAAGGGACGTAACGGGCAACTTTTTTATGCAGACGTTGGTGCGTGTATCGAATAAGCTGCCAGAGGAGGTGGTGGAGGCTGATACAATTACAACATTTAAAAGGCATCTGGATGGGTATATGAGTAGGAAGGTTTAGAGGGATGTGGGCCAAATGCTGACAAATGGGACTAGATTAATTCAGGATATCTAGTTGACATGGACAAGTTGGACCGAAGGGTCTGTTTTCATGCTGTACATCTCTATGACTGTATTTGCCTGTTTATGAATGATGCAACTATGTTTGCCAGTATGGAATTTATCCTGAAATGTTAACAGAAAATGCTGGAAATATTCAATAGCTCTGTCTGACTGCATCTCTGGAGACAGAAACTGACCGTCTTTGGAAGTAGGCATAATGGAAAATGGGCCTTGATGATGCTGGGTTCAGCTGCTGAAAATCTCACAGTTATGCGTTTTCATTGCTGGATGGACAGAAAATGAAACACCAACTTTACTTGCCATCTAATTAAACTAGTTGAAATTATTAAAAGCCAATCGATCACAACGTTATGAAGCCCACAGCATTTTACACATCATTCACCAACCACATGGTGGAGACTCAGCAGGATTTAATAAGCAGCAGACAAACAGGATTTAAAGGGGCCAGAAAGACTTGAGCAGAAGAATCTGGGAAAACAGTAGAATACATTGGAAGGTGAGAGACAGAAATCTATGCATCAAGAAGTCCATCTGGAAAAATTGGCCTCATGATCATTGCATTGATTATTCTGATGGAGACTCAACCACTGAGGAGGAAAACTAGGAACTAAATCAAAGGTAGCAACCTTGTAGCCACCTACAACTGCAACCTGGTGATGGGGGGAGGGCGGAAGCTTACAGGGTACCCTGGGAGTAAAGACATTCTAGAAAAAAAGGCTCCCCGGATGTACAGCATTTACAACATTCCTGTAGATGTGGAAGAGGCTGTATCCAAGACTGCTCTTGGCACAAGAGATGGTGACAGCTCTGATTCACGTGATGGTGGTGGAAGTTAGTACTATAGGTGGGCATCTAATGTCAGTGGCTTGCAAGCTCATGGTCAACCTGAATTTCTGTAATTCAGGCACATTATGAAAGAGATGGATGCTGCATCTCTGAATCAGTCACACTTCGCTGCTGCAAGATTATGATCAAAACTCTCTTAGGAAGTCCAATCGATACATGAAATCTACCGTGATATGAAGTCTGGCCAAGAGAGTCAGAGGCTTTGTGATTATGGCTGGATTTCGCAAAGTCCAGGGAGCCTCGACTGCGCACATTTGGGCACTCCCTCACCTCATCTGTGATCACCACAAGTGAGTCTTGCTAGCATGTGCTCATCTCCTGAATCATTCAAAACGTGTACATTCTCAGGCCATCCCAGATTCCACAGCTCTTGACACCTCCCCTCCCCATCCCTCCACCCCCCCCCCATCCCTCCACCCCTGTATGACTAATGGATGAGGCACATAGACCATTGGTTTAGGGAAGATGAGATTTAGCTGCCTGGATTGTGCATGTGGTGCTTTTGGTATGCCCAAGTAAGGGTGACAGATTGTGTTTGTCTGCTGCAGCTTGCATAACATGGCGCTGCAGCGGGGTAGGCTCTGGCTGTGGATAAAATCAAGGACTGTCAGCTTTCCTTTGGTATGGATCGTATGAGGAAGTTGAGGAGAAGCCTCAGTATCTGTACAATCCCCTATACCACTTGGAGACCATCAAGCTTTTGGTGCCTGCAATGCTCAGGAGCTATCATCCTGAATTGCAGCAAGACAGCAATTGGGTCCAAGCATTTTTGTTACAATCTGAATATAATCTTTAACAATTCAGCCAACATTTTCCGGATGTCTTTTATAATGGTCCCTCATGATAAATCTGGCCCTAAATCACTACCACCTATGCACACATTAGTATACCGGGTTAGTAATAGGCATGATGTCTTTTAAAGAAGAAAGTTCAAGGTCAATTTCATACAGGTATACACGTGGTCACCAGGTACCATTACAGTGAGTATTTGATAGTTGCATTCATTGCATATGATGCAGTGAGTGCTGTGTTGTGTATTCACTGGGGCCTGATGCAATGAGTGCTAATTCTGTGTATTCGCTGGAAGCAGATACAGGAGTGCTGGGTGTGTTTTCAAACAGAAGCTAATTCCTGTGATCACCAAGTACCATCATCAAATACCAGATTTAGTATCTTTGATTGTCCCATGTTGTGCTTGGCCTTCACTGTCAGTGGTGGAGGCAGGCTTTCATGTCTTTGCCTGGAATGACATTGGAAGCTGTCCTCTGGCTGCATGAGGCTGTGAGGTTTCCAGGGTTGAGAGGTTCACCTGACTAGTGACAGCTAGCTTCTGTGTCACCACTGCAGCCTGCAGCGAAGGGGCGGCGAAAATGCTGTTTGCAGTGGGAAGGCTCCAAGAAGAACCCCCAGATGCAGACAACCGTTGTTCATCTGAACCATTGTCTGCCTTTTAATGAGGGAGTGAAAAATCTGGCTTCCTTTGGGTTGAGGTGGAATTTGAGAATGAGGGGTAAAACCCTAAGGCCACAAGCCTTGTCTCATGAAGCATCAAGAGGGACTAGGGTTCTCAGCCAGGTGCTTTGATGTGGTCTCAAGGTGGAACCTGGTGGCTGAGTTTTGTTACTGTTTTGAACATTATCACTGACCTGTTGACTGTCTATTTGATTTCAGGGTGCACTAGCTGGTCTTGGTGTCAGTTTCATACTGACATTGTGGATAGGAATCGGTGGGCATGTCTATCGGCCACTACCTACTCAAACTCGACCATTACCCCTCAGCACAGCAGGATGTCTTGATCTCGCCGCTAAGATCCCACAATCAGCGAGAGTAGGCCCCTACTTAACAACACACCATGCACCAGACCTGACTTCCAGGTAAAGTGAAAAGAACTGAGAACAAAGTGTTTATGGATATTCATGTTCCTACAGTATTGTAGTTTGGTTCTGCTGTGGAAATTATAATTCTGTTAAATTATCTTAACCATTTTTCTGTCTGCCTGCCTTAGATATTCCCTTTACTTCTCCTTATTAAGGTCACATGTCTCTCACTTACTCTTAAAATCACTGATAAGTTATGAAACTCCTAAGTACAACAAGTCTTGTCCGTACATTTGGTGCCTAGTACACAGAGAATTGTCAATAAATTTTCTTACTCGCTTATGCTCGTTGAGCAGTTTCACCAATAGAGCAGAATTGTCAGGCAATTTGTTAAAACTGTTTACCACTGTCCCCGTGTCAATGCCATTTACCTTCACCTGTGTGATCTAACCCTAGAATTGACCAATTATGTGGGGTGAGGTGGAGATTGCTCTATTTTAATACTGTGGACACAGGCTGTGTGACTGGGGACTCTTCATACATTCAGGTGAAGGGATAGAGTGCTGCAGAGATTGGGAATATTAGTGAGTGGTACCCACTAGCATTCAGGTTTCTCCTTTTTTAATTGACTTGTGAGACATAGACGTTGCTGCTGGGTGGTGAGCATTTTATTACCTGCCCCTAGTTGCCCTTGAGAAGATGGTGGTGAGCTGCCTTATTGAACTGTTGCAGTCAATGTGCTATAGGTTGACCCCAATACTGTTAGGTAGGGAATTCCAGGATTTTGACCCGGCGACAATGAAAGTATGGCAACATATTTCCAAGTTAGATTGGTGAGTGACTTGGAGGGAACTTGGAAGTGGTGGTGTTCCCATGTATCTGCTGCCCTTGTCCTTCAAGGTGGAAGCGGGCATGGGTTTGGAAGGTGCAGTCTAGGGATCTTTGGTGAATCTCTGCAGTGCATCATGTAAATAGTGCACACTGATCCTACTGAATGTCAATGGTGGAGGAAGTGGATGTGGTGCCAATGAAGTGGGCTGCTTTGACCTGGATGGTGTCAATCTTCTTGAGTGCCCTTGAAACTGCACCCATCCAGGCAAGTGAGGAGTATTCCATCACACCCCTGACTTGTTCCTCACAGATGGTGGACAGGCTTTGGGGATTCTGGAGATGAGTTACTCACCACAGTATTCCTAGCCTCTCACCTGCTCTTGTAGTCACTGTGTTTATGTGATGAGTCCGGTTGAGTTTCTGGTCAATGTTAACTTCCAGGATGTTGATAGTGGAGGATTTGGTGATGGTAACACCATTGAATGTCAAGGAGCAGTGATTAGATTGTCTCTTATTGGAGATGGTCATTGCCTGGCATTTGTGTGGTATGAATGTTGCTTGCAACTTGTCAGCCCAAGCCTGGATATTGTCCAGGTCTTGTCACATTTAGTCATGGACTGTTTCAGTATCTGAGAAGTCGCAAATAGTGATGAACATTGTGCAATCATCAGCAAACACCTCCACTTCTGCCATTATATTGGAAGGAAGATCATTTAGTGACCCCATTATCAGAGTGTGGAGGATGGGAGGGTGTGATAAATGAGTAAAAATGTTAACAATCTTTGACCCAGGCCTGGAGCTTCTTAATGGGCCTCAGTTCACCATAGGCTATCATTGACTAAGTTTAGCAGCCACTGTCCTTGGTCAGGATTTAACATTCTCCTGACTTCTTTGTGTGGGCAGGAGGTTTTCATCTCTAGTCTAATATGTGGTTCTTTCGTAGAATCTTATTAGTCTTAATATGAGGATGAGAAGAGGAAGAGTTAAGAAGGCCCAGGTTTGTCAGTACATTGGGAATGATAATTACTGTTAACAACAGGAGCAATGGAGAACATGCACCAAATTTCCACCACAACTGCCCCTCAACGCTCACCCCCAAACCCTGCTTCCGACCTCTTCTGATGCTCTGTAAATGTCTTTTTAGTTTTCTGTATTTTTAATTGTGGACTAATATCAGAAAATAACTTTCTTTTAAAATTGAAGGATTGTTGCACTTTTCAAAAGCAAATAGCCTGCCACTCATTGTAAGTACTGTTTACACAGCTGCTTGTTCAAGTAGTAATGGAAGTCTGGAGCCAGGATATAGGTATAAATGACATTTCAACAGGTAACAAGCAGCTGATTGATGTCGAAACGGTGGCCAGTTATCGATGACGAAGGCAAATAGTGATGTGATGATACGAGACAGGTCAATAGTTTGGGGACGTGAACGAGATAGTCACAGGCAATTGGATCATCATAAAGGCAGGGGCTGTCTCTTCTCTGCACCAAAAGGCATCTCAAGTCTGAAGATAACCAGTTTACTTCCCCACTGCAGCTGCTGTAAGCTGTGACTAGTGGGAGCTAGTAACCCTGTGTCTCCTGCAAACAGCTGAATATATCTGGAGAAAGAAGCTAGAGAAGTAGCATTCTGATCCGCAAAAGGATCATTTCAGCAAACTTCGTGGACAGAGACCACTGAGTGGCCTTTCTAGTTTTTCCTTCCATCCGTTTCTCCTATGTTCTTTCCTCTCTGTACATGTGTAGAGGGCGAGTTTATGAGGGGGGCTGTTACAGTCTTAACAAGTAGAGCTTTATGTCAACAGTTTGCAATTGTTTATATATGGTTAGAGCCTAATAATTTGTAGTAAATACTTAAGTACAGAAACCTGGTCTATACTTTTGGTCAACCTGGATCAGAAAGGCAAGGAAATGGGGGAATTATATGTAATTTTTAAAAACTTTGACTTTTGTCATGACTTCAGGAACAGCAGGGCTTGATTTACAGTGTGCTACCGCAGTGAGACAGAACATTTCTCTGAAACCTCCTAATAAGGAGTCTCTGAGGGTTCTTCTGGTCAATTCATAGGGATAAAACTTCTCTCACATCCAACTCTACCTTTGGCAGAATCCCTGGAGAAATGATAAAAACAATATGAGTTCAAGAAATGAAATACATTCTCATGAATGCTGGCCTTTGCCAAATAGGCACAGTCCAGTATACCCTACATCTCCAACACTAACTCACCGACATTTATAGCACAGGAGGAGGTCATTCACTTCATGTCCAGGCTGGTCAACTGATCCCATTATTCACTTCTTGTGGCAAAGCACTGGAGGCTGAGACAACACAAGAGAATGTTGAAATATTGCTTAATTGTTATGAAAGTTTATGACTCAATCACCGTTATGGGCAGTGCATTCCAGTTTCTCCTTAGTTTCCCTCGTTCCCTTCTGTTTCTTTCCTTACATCTATGCCTCCTGGTTACTGACTCCTCCGCTAATGGAAAAGGTGCTTTCCTCGTCACCTTATTCCTGTCCTTTATAATCTATCAGTCCCCTATCAAACTTCACTGCTCAAAGGAAAACAAACCGCAGCTTATCCAATCTTTCTTCATAGCTCAGACCCCCCAGCCCAGGCAGCATCCTTGTAAATCTCCTCTGCACCCTCTCTAGTGCAGTCACATCCTTCCTATAATCTGTTGACCAGAACTGTATTCAGTACTCCTGTTGTGATCTAAGCAGTGTTTATACAGTTCCAGTATGAATTCCCGGCTCGTGTTTCACTTCTCAATTAAGTATCCCATATGCCTTCATAATACCTTAACTGCCTGTCCTGTTATTTCAGGGCTCTGTCGGTGTACACACCAATGTCCCTTTGATCTTCAGTACTTTCTAGGGTCCTACCATTTATAGTGTAACCCTTTGGCTTGTTAACCCTCCAAAGGTGCATTACCTCCCATTTTCCATTGAATTCCATTTGCCACTACTGTGCCCACCTGATCAGTCCCTTGAAATTCCCCTGCAGGTTACCACCTGACCAGTTTGTGTTTCATCGGTGAACTTTTTGATGATTCGCCATCCACTTAACAGCAAGGGCTCCAGCACTGGTCTCTGTGGAACCCCACTGGAAACAGATTTCCAGTCACAGAAACATCCCCTGCAATCACGCTCTGCTTGCTGCCTGTCAGCTAGTTTTGGATTCAAGGTGCAACTTTGCCTTGAATTCTATGAGGTGTTACTTTGTTGACTAATCTGCCATGAGGGACCTTATCAAAAGCCTTACTAAATATAGAAATAAGAGTAAGCCATTCAGCCCCTTGAGTGTTCCACAATTCAATGAGATCATAGCTGATCTGTGGTCTAACTCCATTTACCAGCCTTTGGCCCATCTCCCTTAATAACTTTGCTTAACAAAAGAAATCTGAGATTTAAAATTAATAACTGATTGAGCAACTACCGCCATGCTTTGTCTATCAAAGTGCTTTGTAAGATCTTTCCTGACAGTCTGGCCCTCATTCTCAGAGTAAAGTCCATGTAGACCATGTCGAATGCATTACCCTCATCAACACTTCGGGTTACCTCCTCAAAATTCAATCAGATTTGTCAAACACAGTCTCCAAATTCATAATTATTATGTATCTCTCCAAGTACAACTAAATTTTTCTAACAATTTCCCCACCACTGAGGTTACATTTGTAATTTCGTCATTTATCCCTTCTGTGCTCCACCCCCCATTTTTAATAGAATCATAGAAGAATCATAGAATCCCTACAGGTAGGGACAGGCCATTCAGCCCAATGAGTCCACACCGCCCCTCTGAAGAGCATCTCACCCAGACCCATTCCCCTACCCTTGCATTTCCCATGTCTAATCCACCTAACCTAAACATCCCTGAACGCTATGGGCAATTTAACATGGCCAATTTACCTACCCTGCACATCTTTGGACTGAGGGAGGAAACTGGAGCACCCGGAGGAAACCCACATAGACACGGGGAGAATGCACAAACTCCACACAGACAGTCGCCCGAGGGTGGGATTGAACCTGAGTCCCTGGTGTTGTGAGGCACAGTGGGGCCAGCATCCTTGTGGGGAGATTTGCTATGCTGTTGAGAGGGTTGAAACTGATTTGGCAGGGGAATGGAATCCAGAGAGAATATTCAGCAGGGCAAACTGCACAGTCAGAATTAGGAGACAGCAAGTGAGTCAGGAAGACAAAGACACTATAGTCCGGTTAAGGCACAAGGGATTTTGGCAAGGTTGGATTGTATTTATTTTAATATGACGAGTCTGATAAACAAGGCTGATGAGTTGAGGGCACAATTTAAAATATGTATTTTTTAGGAACTTATACTTTGGTGGTGTGATCAGTGTGGAGGCGATGGTGTGATCAATATGGAGGGGGCATAGATTTAAGGTAAGGGCAGAAAATTTAGAAGAAGTTTTTCACTCAGAGAGTGGTGGGGATCTGAAATTCACTGTATGGGTGGTAGAGGCAGAAACCTCGTATTATTTAAGAAGTATTTCGATGTACACTTGCAATACTAAGGCATCAAAGGCCAAGTACTGGAAAATGGGATTAAGAATAAGTAGGTAATTATACTCGACTGCTGCCAACACGATAGGCTGAAAGGTCTTTTTTGCGCTGTAGACCTCTATGACTATGCCTCCAGGAGATGCTCACTGCCTGCCTCGGTCTCCTCATCTCGTTCATTCTGGAGTGAACGAGATGAGGAGACCAAGGCTAAATTAAAAAGCAGAACCAAAAAAGTTGAATGGGTTACTAACTGAGCAATGAGCTACTTAGCACAGGGTCAACAAGATTAAAGAGGTAAATGTGTGGCTCAAAGGGTGGTGTTGGCGAAATGGGTTTGAATTCTTGGGACGTTGGCACCAGTACCGGGGAAGGAGGGAGCTGTTCCAATGGAACAAGGTCCATCTGAATGAGGCTGAGACTAGAGTCCTGGCGAACTGCATAACTAGGGCTCTGGACAGGGCTTTAAACTAAATAGTGGGGGGCTGTGTTCAGTTGCATGAAAAATTATAAAATCAAAGACAAAGGAGAAGGGAGGAATGCTGGCTGGTGATGGGGTTTATTGTTACCGGAAAATAACTTGGTTCCGGGTCTTACACTCTTTGGAGGTTCAGTGCAGACTGGATGGGCCAAATGGCCTCTGTCTGCATTGTAGGGACTCTATGATTCTATGGACATTGGACTACTGGAAAGTGAGGCTGGAGAAGTAGAAATGGGGAACAAAAAAAATTGCAGAGGAACTGAATAGGTACTTTGCAAGTAGCATACCAGAACTTCGAGAGTCCGGGAGTAGAGGTGCTGGGGAAGCTGAAAGGTCTTGAGATGGATAAATTGCGCAGATGGGCTACAATCTGGCATCCTGAAGAGATAGCTGAGCAGATTGTGGAGGCCTTGGTGGTGACCTTTCAAGAATCACTGGAGTCATGGAAAGTTCCAAAGGAGTAGAAAATGGCTAATGTAACACTCCTGTTTAAGAAGGAAAGGAGGCAGAGGACAGGGAGCTATAGGCCAGTTAGCCTAACCTTGGTCGTTGGTGAGATTTAAGAGTCCATATTAAGAATGAGATTAAGGTGTACTTGGAAGTCCATGGCAAAATAGGGCCGAGTCAGCATGGCTTCATCAAAGGGAGATCATGCCTGACAATTCTGTTAAGATTTTTTCAGGAGGTAACATGCGAGTTAGACAAACGAGAGCTGGTGGACATGATGTATTTGCATTTCCAAATGATCTGTTAGGATTTCCAGAAGTTTTTGACAAGGTATTGCATGGGAGGCTGCTAAAATAAGATGAGTCCACAGTGTTAGGGACGAAGTACAGGCATGGGTAGAGGATTGACTGACTGGCAGAAGGCAGAGAGTGGGGATAAATGGGTCTTTTTCAGGATAGCAGCCAAGACTAATGGAGTTCTGCAGGGGTCAGCTTTGGGACCACAACAATTCACTTTATACATTAACGATCTGGTTGAAGGAACTGAGGGAATTGTTAGAATTAGAATTAGATTTTATTGTCACGTACTCAAGTATTGGAATACATGAGTACAGCTGCTAAGTTTGCAGATGACACAAAGATAGATGGATAGACAGGTGGTGTTAAGGAGGCAGGGAGGATACAGAAGAACTTAGACAGGGCAAAGAAGTAGAGGTGGAATACAATGTAGATCAGCCGCAGGTTTTAATTGGCAGTCAGGTAAATGCAATGAAGGCATTCATTTCAAGAGGGCTAGAATGTAAGAGTAGGGATGTACTACTGATGCTGTATAAGGCTCTGGTCAGACCACATTTGGAATACTGTGAGCAGTTTTGGAACCCATATCTAAGGAAGTATGTGTCTACCTTGGAGGGCCTACCGAGGAAATTCATAAGAACAATCCTGGAAATGAAGGGTTTTTTATACGAGGAGTGGTTGAGGACTCTGAGTCTGTACTTGATAGAGTTTAGAAGTATGAGGGGGGAGTCTCATTGAAAGTTACAGAATACTGTGAGTCCTTGATAGAAGGGGCGCCTTTAGAACTGAGATGAGGAATTTCTCCAGCCAGAGGGTAATAAATCTGTGGAACTAATTGCCACAGAAAACTGTGGCGGCCAAGTCATTGAGTGTCTTTAAAACAGAGATAAATAGGTTCTTGATTAGTCAGGGGAACAAGGATGATGAGGAGAAGTAAGGATGTTGGAGTTGAGAATCATATCTGCCATGATTGAATGGCGGAACACACTTGATAGACCAAATGGCCTGATTCTGATCCTGTATCTTATGGTCTTACGTTGATGGCATAAGGACATCCACAGTGGTGTTAGGAAAAGAATTCCAGAATCTTGACCCAGTGAAACTGAAGAAATGGCAATATAATTCCAAGTCAGGATGGAGTATGTTTTAAAGGGGAACATGCAGGATATGGTTTTTCTCTGAATCTGCTGCCCTTGTCTTCATAGGTGGAAGAGATCACAAATTGGAACCAAGGAGCCTTGGCAAGTTGGTGAAATGTGCACATGGTACAACAGCCACTATGTATCACTGGTGAGACAGCGAATGTTGAAGATGGTGGATAATATCTAATCCTAAAACTCCACCTTCTGAAGAATTCACTGTACAAACGTTCCCAAAATTGTACCTACTGAGTGTACTAATTTAGTCATAGACTGTGTTATAGGATGAAAATGTCCATACTTAGCAAATGTTCAGGCAGCAGGAAGTTGGGCTTCTCTCCCGTCAGGCTGGCTGGGATTTGAGCCCTACTTCAGGATTCGGAATAGCAGTAAGTGAGCAGTCACAGTCCTCGATCTGAGCTCCCTTTTATCAACACAGTCTATTTCACAATAATTCACAGTGATCTTTGACATACTTCAACACCAATCTTAAACATTGCTAAACAGAGATTATAATTTGAAGCTATTTGTCTTGCAGTCATCAGAAAAGCTTTAATTCCTAGTTTCCTCTTAGTAGTGTTTAAGTTCTGGACTGCCAAGCATTTATTTACAATCCTAAACTGTGTTCTCATCTTCAATTTCAGGCCAGCAATTGCGGACACATTGTATTCAATCTCATATCTTTACTTGAGCCCAATAGCAACTATCACTGTCGTGATTGTTGGTCTGATAGTCAGTTTGCTGACAGGTTAGTATTTACTCTATGAGTTTATCAAGGTTTAATAGGCAGGTAAGATAGTAACAGTATGTTAGAAAGGCATAAAGACTTCATTGATATCAATTTGTGTGCACTAAAGAACCAATTAGATGGAGCGTAGAGGATGTTCTGCTACACAGCCATTTCCAAATATGAGCTGCCATCTATCATGAAGAGGAATGAGTTTTGGGCATCCATCCTTTGCAGCAGATCCCTTCAGGAATGAGTTTGGGAATCCAGATTTTTGTGGCAGATCTCTATGAGAATGGCTTTGGGAACCTACGCTGCAGCTGATCCCTCTGGGAACAAGATTGTGGATCCACACTTTGTAGGAGAATCTCTACAAGAATGAGTTTGGGGTCCCTATTTCAGTTTCCAACATTGACACAAACTATTGCTGATGAAGCCAAACATGAGTTAGCGTTTCCTCCAACAGTGCAGTGGAGGACAAGCTGACTACTAACATCAAGAGCAAAAGTTAATTTCAGATCTCGGAGCTTTCAACCTGAAATGTTAACTTTGTTTCTTTCTCCAGAGATGATGCAAGATGATGCTGAAGATTTCCAGCAGTTTCTGTTTATATTCTGTATCTGCTGAATTTTGCTTTTGTGTTAGGGTTATTTTAATCTTCACAAGTTGAAATTCTCTTCTGAGACATTATTTGTGTAAGGTTAGTGTAATTGAAGCAGTAATTTAAGAAATCAAAGTGTTGCCTATGCATTTTTAGTATGGACTGGGAGACCATCATAGCACAATTCCTATGGCTGACCTTACACTTCACACATTGTGAAAGTTTTGTTGTCAAGATGGTGCCGTCTGGGAGACAGAAAACTGGTCAGAGTTTGCTAAAGGGACACTACCCACTGTGTCACAAGAGCCCTCTTTTGGCCGATAGATATTTTCTAATTAAAATGCTCAGAAATGTGATCACACATCTCTGAAGCAGGTGGGACTTGAACTCAGGCCTCCTAACTCTGAGATAGGGACATTACTGCAGCACCACAAGAACCTTCTAAAGCCTACTGGTGTTCCCAGGCAGTCCCCCATCCAGGTACTAACCAGACCTGAATTTACTTAGCATCCAAGATCAGTCATTTTGAGATTACTATGGCCATAGGCCCTGTTTGGCCTCCATTAGTGATGGTGACTGTGATCAGCTTTTTGCTCTGACAAGAATCAGCCCTGAAATCATGTAACATTTTGTTCAATCTCAGTCAGTTTTCAGAGTGGTTGTTTTTGTCATGTGATTGATGTGCACTGAATCTGCTACTGATTCCCATAGGAGGGAAGCAGAACGTGGTGGACAAGAAGCTGCTGATGACTTACAAGGATACACTATGCTACACCTACTATGTCAACAGAAGTATTCATTCAGAGGTACTCTATAATGATTAGCACAGATAAAGGATGGGCTAACTAAGAAAGAGAGTTAGGATAAAGGGGGCAATTGTAGGAGGGCAACCCATAACTAGTGGAGTGTCACAGAGATCAAGGCTGGGGCTACAGTTATTTATATATATATTAATAACTTGCATGAGGAAAGCCAAGTTTATGGAGGACACAAAAATAGGTGGGAAAGCAAGTGGTGCCATACAGACAGGTTGAGTATGGGAGAATCTTGTCAGATGGAATATACTGGGAGGTAATGCACTTTGGCAGAAAGAACAGAAGAACTGAACATTATTTAAATAGGGAAAAGACTGCAGAAAGCTGCAGCCCAGAGATTTGGGAGTTCTTGACATAAATCACAAAAAGCTACCATCCAAGTTCAGGAGGTAATGGGGAGCCAAATGAAATGTTGGCCTTTATTTCAAAGGGAGTGGAGTATAAAAATAGGGAGGTCTTGCTAAAACAGTGCCAGGCACTCGACCACGCCTAGAATGCTGTGTACAGTTTTGGTCCCCTTAGCTAAGGAAAGAAATCTACTGGAATTGTAGGCAGCTCAGAGAAGGTTCAATAGGCTGACCGCAAATTAGACCAGTTATATAAGTACAATGGTTACAAGAGTTGGTCAGATACTAGGAAACCTGGAACGAAAACTCATCTCCTGACTCTCCAAAGCCTGGCCACTGTTGCCTAGTGCTTCCTTAAAAAAATCTAGACAACCCTAATCAGAATGTTATGAATGAACTTGCCCAGATACCGAAGCAGTCAACTCAATACGAACACAAGCCGGTACCAATACAAAACAGCCCCAACTTTATTAGGAACAAAGTTACAATAATCTTAAATACTAAGCTGATCTTTAATACTATTTGGCCCCTTAAACTTACAACACTTCCCAAGCCTCTTGTATAATTATGCAGGTTCTTTCTCTGTCTCTGTCTGTGAAGCTGCTTTCTTCCTGTCCCTCTCTGGATGGTCACCTGGTCTCTGCCTCTTGTCATGCTGGTTTCCTGAGAAAGCCTCAGAGGATTCTAAGTGGTTACAAGAGAGGTCTGCAGATGAAACCATGTCTTTACACCTTTTAGATGGTTTTCTGGAGCTTTCTATAGTTCTGGCAATCAGAGAGATACAATTAATGCTTTAAAACAAGTGTCAGTCATTTAGATGGCATGCTATTGTTAGTTTCTTTGTGTCTGAGCCCTTCTTTGTTTAGTGGATAAGTGGTTAGGGGTTTTTCTATCCAGAATAACTGTTCTCTTTTACATTATGCTAATGTCACTAGCACCAGCTGCTGTGTTTGCACTGTGTCTGATGTGTGGGTTTTGTGATTTCAGAGTTTTACTTGGCCAGTGCACCCAGCTAAGTTAGCAATCTATCTGTGTTTTAGCAGCCAGCTACATTCCCCATTTTTGAATGGAAAAAAGCTTATGCGAATCAAGTTCAAACCTAATTGTAAAAGTTGGTTATGTTTGTTGTCAGGGGAGCCTACATGTTCATGTGGAAGCCAATGTGTACATTGGTCAAGCTTATTATATTATAATATGTACAAAGAAAAAAAAACTCCTGTCGCAGTAATCCATACAGGATTGTCGTGCATAGAGAACATTCAGTAATCAGAACCAATAGAAGTGACAATAGTGCTAACTCCAGAAGTTCATCTACCTTAAAGCCCCTGTGTGCACATACAGTATTATTCAGAGTGAGTGGCCAATTTCTTGGGATATTTGTCTTGCCCAGTCCTGCAATCTTAACCATCAGTATCCAAGATCTATCAGAGTGAATGCAGTGAGGACCGCAACTAGAAATGGGAGGAGCTGAATTCATGGATGACAGGCTAGGGGCACAATAGTATGGACTGTTTGTTAGTATTTACTTAAAAGTGTTCCTATCAATGTTCCCTGTCTTTCCATAATATATGGGAGGGTGTCATGGTAACCCATCCAAGTACCTTTCTTTTAAAATAATTTCAATATTTTTGACTTCAAAGGTCCTGAACCCAACTTTGTCACTCAGGATAATTGGAATCCATAACAGCAAGCCAAGCACCTTGCCAAGAATGTCCTTGTAGTTGTCATTATACCACACCTTGGTGAGCTGCCACAACTGACAGCTAGAGATGTTGGTATGAGTTCTCTCCTGGAACAAACGTTCAAGCTGTTCATAGAGTCATACAGCATGCATCAATGAGCCAGGACGGAACTTTCCCTTGGCTAGCTTGCCTGAGGTCCTCCCTCATCTGTTCAATCGTTTAGTTTCTGTAGATACTGCATAGGATGCGGTTTTGCTGCTCACCGTCATCCCTGGTTTGCCCTGGATGATCTTGATGTAACCCTCTAGTATGGTCACTAAATGGTGGGTAGCCTGATTCTCTGTATTTATCCCATGGTTTCCTGTTGATTGCCTGCATTCAGTCCTTAAAGGGCTTGTTTGACTTGTTGGGCCAAGATCCTGAGTTTATTTTCCAAATTAGCTAAACCAAGGGTATTGACCGTTGACACTCCTGCCCAGTAAGCTGTGGCTAGATCATTAAGGAATTCCCTTTTCTTTTATCTATCAACTGGTAGGGGGCTCCCATCTACACACACTATGACATCTGCTGGGTCGACTACAGATATCCTGGGTACATCGTTTTGCCTTGTGCTGGTGCTAAATGTTTGGATACAGTCATTGTAACAATAAATAATGTGCAATAAACGCTCTGTAAGGGTTGACTTGCTGTCCTGGAGTAGCTGCTGTGGTGTAGTTTCTTAAAAAAAAAGTAATTTCTTTAAATATCTTTGTCCAATGTCTGACACAATGTTCTATATAACATATTTAAAATTGTCAAATTCAAATTGTCACCCATTCCTGGCCTCTCCCATTTTTTTTTTAAGAAAACAAAAAGGGCTATAGATCAGTGTTTACTATAGAGAAGAATATGGAAGATAGAGAACGTGGGAAACAAATAGTTACATCTTGAAAAATGTCCATATTACAGAGGAGTAGGTGCTGGACATCTTAAAACGTATAAAGGTGATAAATCCCCGGGACCCGATCAGGTGTACCCTAGAACTCTATGGGATCTCTAGGGAAGTGATTGCTGGGCCCTATGCTGAGATATTTGTATCATTGATAGCCAAAGATGAGGTGCCGGAAGACTGGAGGTTGGCTAATGTGGTGCCACTATTTAAGAAAGGTGGTAAGGAAAAGCCAGGAAACTATAGACCGGTGAGCCTGACATCAGTTGAACAAATTGTTGGAGGGAATCCTGAGGGACAGGATTTATATGTATTTGGAAAGTCAAGGACTGATTAGCATCATAGAATCCCTACAGTGTGTGGGAACAGGCCATTCAGCCCAACAAGTCCACACTGCCCCTCTGAAGAGCATTCCACCCCTGCTCATTCCCCTACCCCTGCATTTCCCATGTCTAACGCACCTAACGTAAACATCCCTGGTCACTGTGGGCAATTTAACAAGGTCAATTCACCTACCCTGCACATCTTTGGACTGTGGGTGGAAACCAGAGCACCCAGAGGAAATGCACGCACACACGGGGAGAATGTGCAAACTCCACACAGACGGTTGCCCGAGGGTGGGATCGAACCTGGGTCCCCGGCGCTGTGAGGCAGCAGTGCTAGCCACTGAGCCACCAAATTCGACATGGCTTTGTGTGTGGGAAATAGTGTCTCACTAACTTGATTGAGTTTTTTGAAGAAGTAACAAAGAGGATTCATGAGGGCAGAGCATTAAATGTGATCTGTATGGACTTCAGTAAGGTGTTCGACATGGTTCCTCGTGGTAGACTGGTTAGCAAGGTTAGATCACATAGAATACAGGGAGATCTAGCTATTTGGATACAGAACTGATTCGAAGGTAGAAAACAGGGTGATGGTGGATGCTTTTCAGACTGGAGGCCTGTGACCAGCGGTATGCCACAAGGATCGATGCTGGGTCAACTGCTTTTCATCATTTATATAAATTATTTGGATGTGTACATAGGATATATGGTTAGTAAGTTTGCAGATGACACCAGAATTGGAGATGTAATAGACAGCGAAGAAGGTTACCTCAGAGTACACCTTGATTAGATGGGCCGAGGAGTGGCAGATGGAGTTTAATTTAGATAAATGTGAGGTGCTGGATTTTGGAAAGGCGAATCAGGGCAGGACTAACACACTTAATGGTAAGGTCCCGGGGAGTGTTGCTGAATGAAGAGACCTTGGAGTGCACATTCGTAGTTCCTTGAAAGTGGACTTCCAGGTAGGTAGGTTAGCTAAGAAGGCGTTTGGTATACTTGCCTTTATTGGTCAGTACATTGAGTATAGGAGTTGAGAGGTCATGTTGTGGCTGTACGGGACATTGGTTTGGCCACTTTTGGAATATTGTGTGCACTTCTGGTCTCCCTGGTATAGGAAGGACATTGTGAAACTTGAAAGGGTTCAGAAAAGAGTTACAAGGATGTTGCCAGGGTCCAGAAAAGATTACAAGCGTGTTTCCAGGTTGGAGGGTTTGAGCTACAGGGAGAGGCTGCAGAGACTGGGGCTATTTTTCCTGGAGCATCAGAGGCTGAGGGGTGAGCTTACAGAGGTTTGTAAAATCATGAGGGGCATGAATAGGGTAAATAGAAATGGTCTTTTCCCCAGAGTGGGGGAGTCCAAAACTAGAGGACATAGGTTTAAAGGGAGAGGGGAAAGATTTAAAAGGAACCTAAGGGGCAACGTTTTCACATAGAGGGTGGTGCGGGTATGGAATAAGCTGCAAGAGGAAGTGGTTGAGGTTGGTACACTTACAACATTTAAAAGGCATCTGGATGGGTATATGAATAGGAAGGGTTTAGGTGGAAATAGGCCAAGGATTTAGGATATCTTGTCAGCGTGGACAAGCTGGACCAAAGGGTTTGTTTCCATGTTGTATATCTTTATGACTCTATAATAAATATGCCCTTATACGTGAATGTCAGGTTATGCACTCGTGTCTGGGGACCTTTAAAGCCATTGCCATTGTGGGGTTGCCCTTGTCATCTTCAGTATTTTTTTAGCTACAGCATCTTTTCGTTCCGGCTGTTGCTGCCAGGATGGTACCCTGGATGTTGGCCCCTTTTTCCAAATTTCCCAGTGCCAGGTTGGAATTTTAGGTGCCCCAACAGTCCCGAATGAATTTGCTGGTTCAGCCACGGTTATAGCACGGATCAGGTTTGGGGTTCATTTGTGGGAGTTCCCGTCTTCTGGGGGCAGGGGACTTGTATGAAGGGGGTGTCTGTCTGGGAATCCTTGGTGTGTTCCTACCCCATCTTTCGTCCCTCTAAGGTGGAGGGAGTCTGTAAGAAGTCCAGACCACTCTTATGTGCATGGGCTCTGGTTTTGGCTGTGGGTCGGAGGTGGGGTTTGAAGGCACTGTCACCTGGGAGAAAGGTGGCAGTGGTCCCCATTTGTGGGGCGGAGGCAGATGGGGTGCAGATATGTCAGTTTGGAGCCTCACATCATCTCCCTGGGGAGGTAGAACCCCAAAGGCACACATTATCTCGTTCTGGGCAGAGACCTTGTTTTCAAGGGACAGTACTTGTTCCCGGCACTTTGAATGCTCCATACTAGGGCCTGATATGTATTGGTCTGCGTTACAGGCTTGGACAACCTGTATGGCTGCTTGGGACTCCCTACACTGTTCTTCCAGCTTGTCAATCCATGCTGAGGCTGCCTCCCGCTCCTCAAGGGCCCTCCTCTCACTAGAATGGTTTCTTTCCAAATGTAACTGCAACTGTCCCAAATGAAATAGATTTTCCTGCCTTCTGGTGTCCTGCTCTTTAACTACAAGTTTTAACTTTTCCAATTCATCAGTAGTGATTTATAACTGCTCCTGCAGCAATCTAATCTCAGCTAGTCATCTACGGGATTTATCTAGGCTACAAGCTATTGCTATTTCTGTGGTTATCTTCGTGGCCTTCTTTCCTAATTTGTTATGTATTTCTTGCCATGTGTCTTGGGCTGTGAAACAGCCAGGTCCAGGACCAGGTTAGTCTGCTACAGAATTCTGACTATTTGGGCCACTTTTTAAAATGGTATTGTCTGAGGTTGTCCTCTTATATCGGACAAGGGGACACTTGTCCTATTTTGCTAGCAAGCATAATATTGCTGGGTCCTTCACTGGATTTCTGTTAAAAGTAAAGATTCCTTAATTCTTTGGAACTCAAAATGTCCCTCAACTCTCAAGCACAAAATAAAGTTCCTTCCACTCTTAAAATAAAAATGACTTCCCTCGATTCTGTCCCTACCAAACACTTCTAGGGTAGGGGCAACAAGGGGTTGAAATATAGAGTAAACTTTCCCCTACTCATCTAAACTCAAAATAAACTAAAATTCAAATCCTGTCAGCTCCGTCCCCATCAAATATTCCCAGGTCAGGGACAAGGGTTTAAAATCAGAAGAAAATTTCTTCTCCTCATTGGAACTGAAAATAAATAAATAATATAAAGCTCCCCTCACACTGACCCCACCAAACATTCTGGGACAGGGACAACAGGGATTTAAAATAAAAGCTTCCTTGGTTTGTTCAAGGAGTCCAAAATGTATCTATGGTTTCTACACAAGAGGCCCACATCTGCCCACCTCCACACTGACTTCCTCACAGTCCCTTTATATCCTATTACCCTTTTTCAACTCATGCTTTGCTCACCCTGTCTGTTGAACACCTGGCTTGTACTGTGCCTGTCACAGTTTAAGGTACCTGATTTATAGCTCAGTTGTGGTCAGTGTCAAGTTCAGTTTATATCCTGGCCTTTGTGTGGGGCAGCTGCCTTCTTAACAACCAGCTCAAGCTGAACATGCAAGATCCCAGGCAAGGTTGGCACTTCAGGTTTGGACAACCTCAAGGGTCACTTCAAACCAAAGTCTCTTAGCAGGGTCACTACATGTTGTATGGTGCTTCCTTAAAACAAATTAGATTACTCCGATCAGAATGTTATGAATGAATTTGCTCAGATGTCCTACAATACCGAAGTGGTCAAAACAATACAAACACAAGCCGGTACCAATACAAAACAGTCCCAACTTTGTTAGGAAAAAAGTTACAACAATCTTGAATTTTAAACTAATCTTTAATACTATTTGGCCCCTTGAGGATACAGCACTTCCGGAGTCTCTTGTAGATTTACGCATTTGCTCTCTCTCTCTCTCTCTCTCTGTCTGTGTCTCTGGGTCAGTGCAGTTGCTTTCTTCCTCTCTGGATGGACAGTTGGTCTCTGCGTCTTGCCATGCTGATCTCCTCAGATGATTCCAAGAGGTTCCAAGAGAGAGGTCTGCAGATGAAGCCATATTTTTATACCTGTTAGATGGTTTTCTGGAACTTTCTGTAGTTCTGGCCAATCAGGGAGGTACACTGAGATAACAAGGTGTAGAGCTGGATGAACACAGCAGGCGAAGCAGCATCAGAGGAGCAGGAAGGCTGACGTTTCGGGCCTAGACCCTTAGTTTGAAATAAGTGTCAATCATTTAGATGGCATGCTAGTTAGTTTCTTTGTGTAGCAGGACTCTGGCTGCTGTGTTTGCATTGTGTATGGCTCTTGTGATTTCAGAGTTTCACTTGGCCAATAGACCCAGCATCCCTTGCTGTTTGACCAAATTAGCAAGATGTGTTTTAGCAGTCAGGAGACTGTTATACCACATTCTTCAAGGCAGAGGTCAGAGGTGTGATGGATTACACCCTGCTGGCCTAGATGATTGCAGCTCCAACAACATTCAAGAAGCTTGAGCCCCCTCAAGGGCAAAGTAGCCACTACTGATGCTCAGTAACAACAGTGTATGCCATCTACAAGATACACTGCAGAAATTCACCAAGGTTACTTAGCACCTTCCGAAGCCAGGCCCACTACCATCTAAGAGGACAAGGGCAACACCATCAACTGCAAATTTCACTTCAAGCTACTCACCATCCAGAACTGTAAATATACTGGCATTCCTTCACTGTCGCTGGGTTAAAATCTTGGAAGTCTGCCCCAACAGCATTCTGGGTCAGCCTACAGCACACATATTGCAGGGGATAAAGAAGCAGCTTACCACCACCATCTTCAAGGGCAACAAGAGATGGGCAATAAATGCTGAACCAGCCAGAAATGCCCACATCTTGTGAGTAAATTACAAGAAAAGTCAATACCAGGTATGTTGGGATTTTTAGGAGTTTTGACATTTGACAACTCACAGCCCAGAGGACTTAACATTGAGTTCTCTAATTTCAAATAACCTTCCCATTCCATTCCACAACTCCGTTACCAGCCCCACCACCTCCCTTCCATTCCACCTAATGACCCTCCTTTCCAGTTACGAACTGGATTCATCCCTCTCATCGACCAACCAGATCGTACCTACTACTGGTGTCCACCTATCACCACCATTCTGCTACGCCCACATCCAGTCCTGAAGAAGGGTAACACCCAAAACATTGACTTCTCCTTTCCTCCAGATGCTGCCTGGCTTGCTTTGTTGGTCCAGCCTCCTGTTTGTCTATTGTTCTATTGAAATGATTTGGTTTGGAGCAGTGTTCTGGCTAGAGTAGACATAACAGTTAATTTCTCACTAGTTGATACGTTACTTACTAAGAACCCATCTGTCATTTGTAGGTAGAAAAGCCCAAATTTTTCCAGTCTTCTGGCTGTTCTCTAAATATCCTTGAGTATATCTCATCCTGAGGCAGCAGATCTCTGGCCTTGGGCTGATTGTAGATGGGAAGTGGCTAACCCACTTGAGATTTGATTTGCTAGTGGAAGACACCAACTTTGTTTTGTTATTTTTGCTGATGGAGCACTTGGAAAAACTAGCACTGGAATTGCTTTGAAGCCACTCACAGAATTCTGAACTGTGTTAATTGGAAAATCGTGTCCCATCTAAACCCTTCCTATTCATGTACCCATCCAGATGCCTTTTAAATGTTGTAATTGTACCAGCCTCTACCACTTCCTCTGGCACCTCATTCCATACACACACCACCCTCTGCATGAAAATGTTACCCCTCACCTCCTTTTTAAATCTTTCCCCTCTCATCTTAAACCTATGCTGTGCAGTTTTGGACTAGCGCATCCTAGGAAAAGACCATGGCTATTCACCCTATCCATCTCCCTCATAAACCTTATAAACCCTTATAAGGTCATTCCTCAGCCTCCGAAGCTCCAGGGGAAAAAGCCCCAGCCTATTCAGCCTCTCCCTATAACTCAAACCCTCCAGTTCTGGCAACATCCTTGTAAATCTTTTCTGCACCCTCTCCAATATCACAACATCCTTCCTATGGCAGGGTGAGCAGAACTGTACACAGTACTCTAAAAGTGGCATCAACAATGTCCTGTACAGCCGCAACATGACGTCCCAACTTTATTCGGTGTTCTGACCAGTGCAAGCAAGCGTGCCACATGCCTTCTTCACTACCCTATCTATCTGTGACTCCACTTTCAAGGAGCTATGAACCTGTAACTGTAGGCCTCTGTGTTGACATGAAAAACCTGGAATTTGTAATCAACCTAGCTCAGATATGTTGTGACACACCTCTGGAACAGTTGGTACTTAAACTCAGACCTCCTGGCCCAAATGTAGGGGCACTATCACTGCATTATAAGAACGCTGAACTAAAATATATATTTCCTTGAGTTTCACTTACGTGGTCACCAAAACTTTGTTGAAAATAAAATCAGTTATGCTGACATAATGGTTGATCAGTTGAAATAGGAACCTGAGGATGTTACTGGCTATGTATATTTGAAGGGTAGATTCCCATACACAAAAGTAGAAGAAATGGCGCTGTGTTGACTCTTGATGTTGTTCCTTTTGCCATTGTCCTTTCTGTACCCACAGAAAACGATTGACAAGGAAGAGCTGGAAGCAATAGCTGATACAACTGAACGGAAGGACACAACCACTGAACAGGAGCCTGATTCTGAGAAACAAAACCAGGAATCCACAACAGACTTATAGTTAGCATGTGGGCTTTCTTCGATGAAAGTACAGTGAACAAGTCATCAGGCTTTGGAGATGTCTAACACAATGGCTTATGTCTATGTAAAAGATCACTGGGCTAGAGATATCACACACCTCTTCCCTCCCTTCCCAGTATTCCTCTTCCTAACTGCAGTGTAAATGGATTAATTTTTCCATTGCATTTCCAGTCAAATCAAACTAGCAGAAACTGCTCTGACGATTTTTTACGGTCATGAGCTTTAAACATTTTAATGTCTGTGCTTTTAAAACTTTTGATGTTATTTGCATTACTTGGGTCAGTGTCAGTGTCTGCTCCCGTAAATAACCCTCATTCTTGTTCTCCATGTGACTGTGATAAGATCACAAAGTCAAACTGAGAACTTGTGACTGTATTCCAAATTACTGGTGTATGAGTTGCAGCCACATGCCATATCTGTTTGGAGTGGAGGGATTGACCATAAACTGCTGTTTGCAGACCAGAGAAGTTTCACATTCTGAAGTGAATTTAATCAGACTTGGCACAACTTTGTGCAGGTTCTAGCTCCTTGTCCAGCTATTGCCAGCAGGACATTAGCTTCATGAGAGTGACTGCTGAGAATGTTTCCCCATGTAACAAGTTAAGACCCATGCTGCTCCCATCTAGATCCAACGTGCTCCCACTCAGTCCCACTTTGCTCCCATCTAGATCTGTTGTGCTCCCATCCAGATCTATTGTGCTCCCATCCAGACACACCAGGTTCCCCACCCACCCACCCTATTCTCCACCCAGACACATTCTGTACTGACCCTTTTCTTAACTCAAACCAACCCTGCTGTTCATCCAGATTCTATGATGCTCTGCGTCATTGCTTATTTGTTGTTATGTTGAGTTAGAAAATATGTTCAGGTGCTGTAAACTGTAATATGTTTGTTCCTAATTACATTAAAAATATACCAGTTTGTCCTTTCACTCATACACATGCTATCAAGCCACTCTCTAGAGGTTAGAAGAAGTGATGAGATTATGGATCCATTTCACACTGCACAAATTAGATTGATAGAAACTCTAACACACCAGCATGCCATAAATCAGAAAAGGATTCTGAACATAACGGATACATGGTCTGCTTACAGGAATGGTCAGAGTATCGTGGGAAATGTTGGCGCCAAATAAGATGCAGGAAAAGAATAGAAACGCTCTGGAATGGTGAAGGCGGTATCGAGAGAAAGGGTCTTCAGAAGATGAGAGTTTACAGCATGAATAATTGCGGAAGCAGTGTCAGAAGGTGATGGAATAGAACCTGGAAGGGTGAAGTTGGTAAAAAGTCGCAAATAAGACTGTTAGATATTGTTGAGGCTGAGTGTGAGGCAGGAATGAGGGTGTAAGGTGCTGTTGATGGAGAAAATACAGGTGCTAGATACTGTTGAGGAAGAGTGTGAGGTGGAAATGAGGGTGTTAGATACAGTTGAAGCAGAGTGAGACAGGAATGAGGGTGCGGGTGCTGTTGAGGGAGGGTGTGGAGGAATTTGAAGTGTAAAAAGATTTTCAAATCCATTATTCTGTGGTTTGGGGAAGCAATAGATGTGGTGAAAATGGGTTGAGATCATTTGTATGAATAAGGACACAGGTCATAATGTTTAAGGCGAGTTCATGTTTGTTGATGTCAGAAGTGGAGGGACCAATAAAAAAGACTTAGAAGTGATGGAGTCTGAAACAGCAGTACATGATGGTAGGTCCTGAAACGTGATATTTCAGACTGGACAAAGCTTCTCTTGCTAAAGGAAACAAAGTTGGCAAATCAAGAAAGACAAGACATTTGTGTAAAATGACTTTACATCATTATCTGTGATGTAAAAAAAATGAATGATGTGGTAAACCTTCCATCACATCACTCACACCAGTTTGGTAGTGAGATGGCCACAAGAGTGATATTCAGTTGCCCGTGGTGTGAGGAGCAATGAACTTCAAGGCACTTAGAATAATAGAACTATGAACAAACACTACCAGCTCTCATACAAAAACTAGCAGTACTATCTCACGTACAGTAAGGAAGTAAAATATTGTAGATGCTGGAGATCCAAAAAGCAAAGTGATGAAGAAACTCAGCAGGTCTGGCAGCATCTATAGAGACAAACATTTAATGTTTTGAGTCCAGAAGACTCATAGCACCAGGGACCCGGGTTCGATTCCATCCTCGGGTGACTGTCTGTGTGGAGTTTGCACGTTCACCCCATGTCTGCATGGGTTTCCTCCGGGTGCTCTGGTTTCCTCCCATGGTCTGCACTGGAGAGAGTGCAGAGGGGATTTACCAGGATGTGCCTGGGCTGGACATTTTTAGTTATGGAGAGCGATTGAACAAACTGGGATTGTTTCTCTTAGAGCAGATAAGATTAAGAGGGGACATGATTGAGATGCATAAAATTACGAGGGGCATAGGGTACACAGGAAAAAATAACTTTTCCTGTTGGTGAAGCAATCAGTGACCAGAGAGCAAAGAGCAGAGGTTTAGAGAGGATGTGAGGAAAAGTGTTCTCTGCCAGAGGGTGGTGGGAATCAGGAACTCTCTGCCTGTAAGGGTGGAGAGAAGCTATTGCCAGCAACAGGACATAGTATAGCACAGGAACCATGATGCCATTTTAAATTCATCCTATCTGCCTGCATATGATGCATATCCGTCAGGTCCCTGCCTGTTCATGTGTCTGTCTAAATGCTTTTTAAATATGCTTGTATCTACTTCTACCACTTCCCTTAGCAGCATCTCTGTGTAAAAAACATTCCTCACATCTCCTTTAAACTTTCCCCCCTCTCACCTTAAACCAATGCTTAGCATTTGCTATTTCCATGACCCTAACCATACCTATCAGAATTTTATATATTTCTAGCAGGTCACCCCCAACACCATCAACCCCCAACTCCCAATATACACACACACATAGCCCTCCCATCATCTCCCACCCCAGTCTCTGATGCTCTAGCAAAAACAATCTAAGGTTGACCAACCTCTCCCTTTAGCTAATACACTTCGATCCAAAAACATCCTAGTAAACCTCTTTGACACCCTTTCCAGGACCTCCTCATCCCTCTTACAATGCGGTCACACGATACTTCAAAGCTTTATACAAATGCAATATGACTTGCCAACTTTTAAATTCAGTGCCCCGAAAGATGAATGCTAGCATACCATATGCCTTCTTCACGACCTTACCCACTTGCGTTGCAACTTTCAGGGAGTTATGAACTGGCAGCCCAAGCCTCCAGTCAGAAAAACATCCCTCCACAATTACCCTCTGCCATCTATAACCAAGCCAATTCTGTATCCAGTTTACCAATTCACTGAAGATCCCATGTGTCTTAATTTTCTCGACCAACCTACAATCAGGGACACTGTCAAACACTTTAGCAAAGTCATGTAGATAACAACTACTGCCCTTCCCCGGTCAATCATCTTTGTCAGTTCCTCTAAAAACTCAATGAAATTTGAGAGACAAGACCTCCCATGCACAAAATCCATGCTGACCATTCCTAATAACCACTCTATTCCGAATGCGAATAAATCCTGTCTCTAAGAATCTTTCAGTAACCTACCTACCATTTCTGTATGGTTCACCAGCCTATAATTTCCTGGACTGTCCTGTTGCTCTTCTTAACAAAGGAACGACAGTGGTTCTTCTCTATTCTTCTGGGACCTCATGGATAGGATTAATGAATAATCTCATTGTAAAGGATCCTGTAGGGATGCTAACATGCTAGAATTTCAAATTCAGTTGGAGAGCAAGAAACTGGAGTTCCACACTAACATTGTTATATGATAATTATATAGGCATGAGGGCTGATCTGACCTAGTGCTTTCAGTGGGACTGGCTGTTCTTTCAAGTCAGGCAGTTAGACTCATCATTGTTCTGCCATTCTCACATTTCGATCACTCAATCTGAATTATCGATGACCTTTTCCCCCCAGCACTCTACACGCCACTCCCTCCCCAACTATTGCATAAATGCTGTCCCCATGCTGATCTGAACTGGAACTCTAGGTTGAATCTTACATTCTTTTAGCTAAGTCCAGATGTATTGAGTCTTTGGAAGGTTTACACCTGAGGCCAAGCAGGTTTTTTTTTTAACCAAACCTGCCTCATTCATTACCTAGCCCACCCTACTGTCTGTTGTGTGTGATTTCTGCCCCAATTAACCACACACAGTTCCCACGATCACCACCACTCAAGGGATGCTTGCTGAAATGCCAACATCCATTGTGCCCATGTCATGTTTGAAAGACTCCTATGTACATGAACAACCATTGGCAATCCAACATTACCCCTCACCAGCAACTTTTTGGCACAGCAGCCACAAAGCCACACTGCCCACGGCATGTAGCCAGCTAGCTTAGTCTCTTGAGACTCTTAATTTTAGGATTGTGGCTTTGAGTCCCACATTGGGCACTGCTGCTGGGAAATGATGGTATTGTGGTTATGTCACTTAACTAATACTCTAGGATCCAAGCTAATGCTCTGAGCTCATGGATTCAAATCTCACTTTGACTGTTGTTGGCATTTTTGGATTGAAGCTGTATTTTATGCAAATGGTGTGAGTTACTATCCCATAGTGGAGTTCCTGTGAAGTCTCTCTTTCCAGTTATTAATTCTATAAACAATTCTTAACTATACTATTGTTCCTGCCTTTTAATCTTGGGAGAGATGGGGGCATTGGCTTCTGCTCCAGTCCCAGTCTGTGTTCATTGTCCACAAATTCCACTCTCTGGCCTCATCAATATCTGAGTTAAGCCCATGTGTTATCCAATTGACCCAGAGCTGACCTTTTGAAATTATGCTTGTAGACAAGTTCTACTGATCCTCAATTTCTGACACTACCACAAGTCTATCATCAATACCATCTAATACCATTTCAATATCACCCATCTCCAAATCTTCTTCAGACCAGTAACTCACCAGTTTTATTATTAAAACTAGACTCAAATCTTCCAATGCTGTCCTGATCATCCTCCAGATTGCAACTTTAGAAACTAGAGCTGTGCTTCAAATGCCCTATGTCAGACCAAATCTTGTTCACCACCAACATCAAATTCATCACTTACATTGATTCCCAGTCTCTCTCAGGATCTCTATTTTAATGTTTTGTTTATTGCATATTCCTGCAAATTATGCCATTAAGTTTTATCCAATACCCTACAGAAGTCATCTATATCCTATCATTTTTGGACATGGATTTCTGCATTATCTCAGAAGTTGTGGATGATACTGAAGATAAAGCAAGTGTCAACAAGCATCCCAACCTCTGGCTGAGGACACTACCCTGAGGAACTCCTGTATGATATCCTGGAGCTGCTGAGATGACTGACCTCCAACAACCACAACAGCCTCTTTTGTGCCAGAAAAACTCCAACCATTGGGAAGATTTACTGCTGATTTCCATTGATTACACTGTCCATAAAAATGACCCCAGGATTCCAGCTGCCTACCACTCCAACACACCACTGTTATCATCCCAACATTTCTGTCTCAGACCTGCTGCAATGCTCCAGCGAGGCTCAACACAAGCTGGAGGAGCATCACCTCATTTTCCACTTAAGTACTTTAAAGCGCTTAGGACTCAACATTCAGTTTAACAATTTCATAACATGAACACCTTCCTCTGTGTTCATTACCCACCTGCACATCTATCAGCCCTGTTCTGTATAGGTTGCTTCCTGTACAGCCAACCCATTTTCAACTATCCAAGAATCTTTCCGTTAACCCTGTTTTCTGCTTTCAAGTTTGTCCTTCCAAATGAATCACCTCACACTTTTCAGGGTTAAACTCCATCTGCCACTTCTCAGCCCAGGTCTGCATCCTATCAATGTCCCTTTGTAACCTAGAACAGCCCTCCGCACTATCCACAATTTGACCCACCCTCGTATCGTCCACGAACTTACTAATCCACCCTTCCACTCCTACATCCAAATCATTTACAAAAATCACAAATAGAAGAGGATCCAGAACAGATCCTTGTGGTACAC